ACGTGGGGCTACCCTTGAAGACGGTCCGGATACTTCAGTTGGTGCAGAATAGAGCTGCCAGGTTGCTGACGGGAACTGGGCATTGTTCTCATATAACCCCAGTTCTCTGTCAGCTCCACTGGCTCCCAATTGAAGTTCGGGCCCAATTCAAGGTGTTGGTTATGACCTATAAAGCCCTAAACGGCTTGGGACCTGGATATCTAAAGGAACGCTTGTCTCCATATATGCCCTCCCGCCCCTTGAGATCTGCAACAGATGCCCTTCTCCGGAAACCCTCAGTGAATGATATTAGGAGGGTGAGTATCCGGAGGAGGGCTTTCTCTGCGGTGGCACCCCATCTATGGAATGCGCTCCCCAGAGAAGTCCGCCTGGCGCCATCATTATTTGTTTTTCGGCGCCAGGCTAAGACGCTTTTATTTAAAACTTATTTTAATTGTTAAATTATTTGTATTTATAGGATTTTAAATTTTTAGCCAAGATGCACCGGAGGTTTTTAAATAATTTTTTTACTGTTATATTGTTATTTATTTATGTATTTTGTTTCTGTTGTGAACCGCCCCGAGGCTTCGTTGCGATGGGGGCGGCATAAAAATGTTTTAAATAAATAAATGGCTGCACCTGTACCGTCCCCATTCCTTTGCCTACTGCTCCTCTCCCCTAGCATGCTGCAGGAAGGAAACATTGTACCAAGAACAGGCCAGGATTTGGGGCAGGGAACAGAGCCTAAACTTTCAAGCTGCCCAAACCCCAAACTGTCATGCTGTTGCCACTGCTGCACCACTCTGAGATTTCTAGTCCCCTGGAACCAGAAGTCTGTCTGTTCCTCTGTTCAAGAGCAAGGCAGCATACATGCAAAAGGATCAGAGCTCCAAAGCAATGTGTTCATTTTATTTTTCCCCAAAACAAGGAAGTTTACTAGTGAATCTCACTGTTTAGCTTTCATGTATGGGCGTATCTAGTCCAAGCCAATTAGGGGATTGCAATATTATGTTAGATCAAATGGAACAGGTGGCTGGCTATTGTATTGTTCTCTTTCCTCAATTAGAACTGAGCATTCTGCTGTTGCAGCAGCAGTGTTTAGTGTTCTTAACGCTCTGTCTCTGCTTTACTTGTTTTCTAAACACCTGCTTGCAACAGGAGGTATTGCAAAGGGTGTGTGAGAATAATAAAGTGTAAATGAACTCCCCCCCCCCGTGTCTGTGTGTGTGTGTGTGTGTGTGTAAGACTAGCTCATTGAATCCAGGCCAGGTTGTGGGCTTCTGAATATAATGGGGACATTCTTCTGATTACAGCTTACCTTTTTGTAAACTCCTACTTGGACTTTTAAAACACCCTTCTTTTATACTTTTCATTTGGATTTTGGCAGTATATTGTGCTAAACCCATCCCTTTGTTTTGCACTCATTTGTTAGTGTGCACGACTCAGTTTTCTTTTCCTATTCAATGAACTTTAGAGAAATGGGAATCTTCTATTATTACTATCCTTTTCTCCATCCTTGCCCTACATGCAAAGCCATCTTTGCAGGCACACTGCTGAGTTCAAAAGACTATTTTTCCATGTTGCTCTGAGGGCATTATTTTAAATTCATTCATGAGGTTGGTTATTTTACTCAGTTCTCCTTTCTGTACAATTGGAGCTGTTGCTGGAAAAAAATAATGTGGAACTAAAGAAATACTTTTGCATGGTCAGCACAATACCTATGATCTTAAGGGCATTTGATTCCTTTCAGTGATTTTGAATGCCCGTATGGCTTTTCCCCTTCCCCTTCTCTGAACTTAGTTTAAAGTTCATTTGCACCGGTTTCCCCTTTTTGTAGTATTCCAAGTGTGGTTGTACCATAGATAGCCTAAGAATAATTTGATAAAGTTTTGGGTTATTTCCAATGTTAGTAAAATGTAAGTCTCATTCATTGGACTACAACTCTCTTTCTCATATTTCTGGTTCTCATGTTTCTGTTTTATAGTAGGTTCTCATTATTTTATGAAATAGAGTTATTTTATTTAATATTGTAATCTGCTTAGAGAGTCTTCAGACTAGTATAGCGGAATATAAGCTGAATAAATAAACAAATTTTCATCATCCTAAACATCGCCCAGATTGAAGCTGCTAGAAGCTGTACTCCAAAGATGCGAAGGGCATCACATTGTGGAAGGCTGCTATTCCCTTTCATGACCGCTTGACAGCCTGAAAAGCCTCCCTCTGGATGTTTGTGCGTGCGAGAGAGAGCGCGCGCGCGCGAGAACGGTGACCGACTCTAAACATTTTCAGACTTCCTGTAGTATCAGGGGACGGCAGCTTTTCTTTTCCAGACTGCTGATTCAAGCATTTCTTGCCTCCACCCCCTGAGCATGGTGAAGGGGCGTGGTGGGGGACGAAAGCCAGTTCTTCCATTCCTTCACAGTTTCAATCCCCCTCAGACAGGCGCTGGACCCGCGAGGTAAGACGAGAATAAGACTGGGGAGCTTCGTGGCATGAGGGGGAAAAACTTATCAGGTTCCTCTCCGCCGCTTTCCGTTACTTACGGGCGGCTCCTGAGAAAAAAAAGAGGAAGGGCAGTAACCACAACAGCGCGAAAGGGAGATGCATCCGACGGAGTCGCTGAAACAAGGCAACCGTTACCCCCGCCATGGCCTGCGGCCCCACCCCTTGCCTCGCGCCCGCGGCCCCGCCTCCCGCTCGTTCTTCGCGCGCGTGTTCTGTCAGGCTGAAAGAAGCCCGGGAGGGTTATGAGAGCGGGTGGGGGGTTGGCGTCGGCCGGAGTTAGCCATGATGCTAGAGCGCAGCTTGTAGGGGCACTCTGCGTCTGCGAGAGAAGCACCGAGCGTGGGGCAGGCTATCGGTGGGGGACTTGCGGAGCTTGGCAGCTCTAATGCCAGAATTCGTCCTTTTTCTCATCCCTCTGAGCCCCCTTTCCTTTTTGTATTCTGTCGTTCGGAATGTAAACCCGAGGGCAGCGAATGCCTATGTTTTGTTATCCGTTTTAATTCTTCCAGGTCGTCTATGAGTACCCTTTTAGGTAGAGGGTGAGATAATGCTATAATAAACAAATACCGCAGGGTGTGCCCCTGGCATAGAACCATCGATCTCAGACTTTCCAACCCGGTGACATCCAGATGTATGAGGCTGCGGTTTGTAGCCCAACACATCTGGAGGAAGGCTGATTCACAGGTTGGACTGATGACCCAGGAACACTGTCCAGTGTGCAACATTTATAGAAAGGGAAAATTTGATTAAAGGGTATTATGCTAAGATGAAAAGGGAAAGTTTTTCTTTGAGGGGAGAGCAAGGAATCCTCGTTTTTGGGAATCTCTGTAGCTTTGTCAGGTCCCTGTAGTTTCTGTTCCTGCTTTGACCTGTACACTGCAGAAATGGGCAATTTGTGGCCTTCTGGTGGTTCATCTTATAGTTTCTATCCTTTACTGGCTTAACCAGTAGTGAGTGGTAATAGGAGTTATAGGTAGAAACATTGGGAAAGCCACACATTACTACCAAAAGACAACTTTAACATGAGTATGGAGGGAACTTTTGTTGACAAAGGAAACCATGCTTCTGAGTGTGGTGGAAAATACTGATGAAAAGACACACAGAGTTCCTGATGCAGGAAAAGGAAGCCTAACTGGTGAGTCTTCTGCTCTGCTGCTGGGGTGGGTTGTCTCCATAAAATGGGAAATGTCTGTATGATAGAGAGTGGTTTTAAGGATATACCAGGATCTTTACCCTTACTGTGACAGACCAAAGATCCTTAGATTCTGTTTCCAGGATAATCACCAGGGCTGTGAAGGCAATGTTTTCTTCTGTTCTGTTGCCAGTGTCTGGCACTTGAGCATAAACTGTACCTGGAAATTTTCTTTAGCTATCAATACTAATAGCAATTAATTGAGCAATTGATTGAGCAGTTCTGCACAATCTTGAACTTTTGGTTTTTTGGACATCAGAGCTAGCAGTCCGCACCCAGAGTTGTCATTTCCAGTTCCATATAATGCAAACAATGTTTAGTGGTAAGCTAGGGAAGGATAAGCAACCAGCCACAGATTTTCTGTCTGAATTGCCCCCTGAATGCTGCTTTATAGCGAGGAAATAAACCACAAGGATTTCTTCCATACTTTTGTAGATAACATGTAGCTAAACCCTAGTTAAATAAAAACTAAGAGAAAAGTAATACTCATTTCACGAAGTATGCAGTATCATTCAGAAGATGTTTTATTTATTTCCCATGTTTCCATTACGAAGTGTTCAAGATCTTAATAATGAAATACTTATAAAATGTAGCATAATTAAATATAACTATCTCAGTCTAAATAAATAGATAAATAAGCCGCCCGCTAGGAAAAGCCAAGTTCAGGCAAATACATCAGCCTAACAGTTAAAGCTTTGTTGTTAGTTGAGAAGTCATGTCCGACCCATTACGACCACATGGACAACATTCCTCCAGGCCCTCCTGTCCTCCACCAACCCCTGGAGTCCACTTAACCTCACACCGACTGCTTCAGTGACTCCATCTAGCCACCTCATCCTCTGCCATCCCCTTGTTTTGCTGTCAGTTGTTCCCAGCATTAGGGTCTTCTCCAGTGAGTGCTTCCTTTTCATTTGATGGCCAAAGTATTTGGGTTTCATCTTCAGTATCTGGCCTTCGAAGGAGCAGTCAGGGTTGATCTCCTCTAGGACTGACTGGTTTGATCGCCTTGCAGTCCAAGGGACTCACAGGAGTCTTCTCCAGCACCACAATTCAAAGGCCTCAATTCTTCGGCGCTCAGCCTTCCTTATGGCCCAATTTTCACAGTCATACATTGCAACTGGGAAAACCATAACCTTGACTTTTGTTGGCAGAGTGATGTCTCTGCTTTTTAGTACGCTCTCTAGATTTGCCATAGCTTTCCTCCCCAGGAGCAAGCGTCTTTTAATTTCCTGACTGCAGTCCCCGTCTACGGTGATCTTGGAGCCTAGGAAAATAAAATCTGTCACTACCTCCATTTCTTCCCCATCTATTTGCCTGGAAGTGATAGGACCGGATGCCATGATCTTAGTTTTCTTTATGTTGAGTTTCAAGCCAACTTTTGCACTCTCCTCCTTCACCTGCATCAAGAGGCTCTTCACTTTCTGCCATGAGAGCGGTATCTTCTGCATATCTGAGGTTGTTGATATTTCTCCCAGCAATCTTAATTCCAACCTGTGATTCATCTAGCCCCGCTTTTCCAATGATGTGCTCTGCATCTAAGTTATATAAGCAGGGTGACAGTATACAGCCTTGCCGAACTCCTTTCTCAATTTTGAACCAATCAGTGGTTCCATGTCCAGTTCTCACTGTTGCTTCTTGACCCACATACAAGTTTCTCAAGGGACAAATAAGATGGTCTGGTACTCACATCCCTTTAAGAACTTGCCACAATTTGTTGTGATCTACACAATCAAAGGCTTTAGCATAGTCAATGAAGCAGAAGTAGAAGTGTTTCTGGAACTCCCTAGCTTTCTCCATGATCCACCGTATGTTGGCAATTTGATCTCTAGTTCCTCTGCCTCTTCTAAACCATGCCTGTACTTCTGGTAGTTCTTGGTCCATATACTGCTGGAGCCTAGCTTGTAGGATTCTGAGCATAACTTTGTTAGTATGTGAAATGATGTGGTAGCATGCAATGGTGTGGTAGTTTGAACATTCTTTGCCATTGCCCTTCTTTTTGATCGGAATATAAACTGACCTTTTCCAATCCTGTGGCCACTGTTGAGTTTTCCAAATTTGCTGGCATATTGAGTGTAGCACTTTTACTGCATCATCTTTTAGGATTTTGAATAGCTCAGCTGGAATACTGTCACCTCCACTAGCTTTGTTGTTGCTCAGACTTCCTAAGGCCCATTTGACTTCACATTCCAGGATGTCTGGCTTGAGGTCAGTGACCACCCCATTGTGGTTATCAGGAACATTAAGATCTTTCTTGTATAGTTCTGTGTAATCTTGCCACCTCTTCTTAATCTCTTCTGCCTCTGTTAGGTCCCTGCCATTTTGGTCCTTTATGATCATGCCCATCTTTGCGTCAAGTGTTCCCTTCATATCTCCAATTTTCTTGAAGAGATTTCCTCCCTATTCTGTTGTTTTCTTCTTTTTCTTTACACTGTTTATTTAGAAAGCATTCTCATCTCTTCTAGCTATTCTATGGAATTCTGCATTCAATTGGGTGTATCTTTCCCTTTCTTCCTTGCCTTTCGCTTCCTTTCTTTCCTCAGCTATATGTAAAGCTTCCTCAGACAGCCATTTTGCTTTCTTGCATTTCATTTTCTTTGGGATGGTTTTAGTTGCTACCTCTTGCACAATGTTGTAAACTTTCGTCCAAAGTTCTTCAGGCAGCTTCTTTATCAGATCTAATTCCTTAAATCTATTTGTCACCTCTACTGTATATTCATAAGGAATATGATTTATGTCATACCTGAGTGGCCTAGTGCTTTTCCCTACTGTCTTCAATTTAAGCCTAAATATTGCAATGAGAAGCTCATGATCTGAGCCACAGTCAGCTCCTGGTCTTGTTTCTACTGACTGTATAGAGCTTCTCCATCTTTGGCTGCAGAGCACATAGTCAATCTGATTTCTTTGTTGACCATCTGGCGATGTCCATGTGTAGAGTCGTCTCTTGGGTTGTTGGAAAGGAGTGTTTGCTATGACCAGTGTATTCTCTTGACAAAATTCTACCAGCCTGTGCCCTGCTTCATTTTGTACTCCAAGGCCAAACTTGCCTGTTACTCCAGTTATCTTTTGGCTTCCTACTTTAGCACTCTAATCCCTCATGATGATAAGACATCATTTTTGGGTGTTAATTCTAGAAGGTGGTGTAGGCCTTCATAGAACTGGTCAGCTTCAGCCTCTGTAGCATCAGTGGTTGGGGCATAGACTTGGACTACTGTGATGCTGAATGGTTTGCCTTGGAGTTCAACTGAGATCATTCCATCATTTTGGAGATTGTATCCCAGTACTGCTTTTCCTACTCTTTTATTGACTATGAAGGCTACTCCATTTCTTCTGAGGGATTCTTGCCCGCAGTAGTATACCTGATAGTCGTCTGAATTAAATTCACCCATTCTTGTTCATTTTATTTCGCTGATTCCTAAGATGTTGATGTTCAATTTTGTTATCTCATGTTTAATCACGTCCAGCTTGCCTTGATTCATAGATCTTACACTCCAGGTTCATATGGAGTATAGATCTTTATAGCATCGGACTCTCCTTTCACCACCAGATACATCTGCAACTGAATGTCCTTTCGGCTTTGACCCAGTTGCTTCATTCTTTCTGGCACTACTAGTACTAGCCCTCTGCTCTTCCCCAGTAGCACATTGAATACCTTCTGACCTGAGGGGTTCATCTTCCGGCGTCATATCTTTTTGCCTTTTGGTACTGTCCATGGGGTTTTCATGGCAAGGATACTGGAGTGGGTAGCCATTTCCTTCTCCAGT